TTCACCCGGCCCAAAAATGTTGAATTTTTATTGTTTAAAGGTCCAATGTGCAAATTAGCCCAAAAAATTATTACATTGAAATTAATTATTACTTTAAAAAAAATTTTTTTTTTGAACATATTTTGCAAGAGGCGGATTTCGAACCCTGCCCGGGGGAGAGGAGGAATACACCGGTGGCTAATACTACTAGACCTCAAGGGCCAGATGCACTTAAAAAAATATTTATATAATTTATTATTTAAAATTTTTATTTTAATAAATTTGTATAAATTTAACAATTATTATTAAACTCTGTTAATCTATTGTTTTTAAAATCTAATAAAAAAATAATAATTGATAATTTTGAACCACTTTCTTAAATTTGAAAATTTAAGATAATAAATTACATCAATATTTTTTTTATAATAATTTACTTTAACATAATAATTTTGGAGGAATTTGCTCATTTTGCCTTATTTAAAACGTTAACAACTTAATACATGTTTAGGTGCACTTAGCATAATTGTAGTTTTGGTTTTTTATTTTTTATTTTATTTTTTATAAATTATAAATTTCAAATAAAGAAAGATCATTTAATTTTATCTTTTTTACAATATATTATTTAATTATTAAAGAAATAAACATAAAAATTATTTTATTTTTATTAAATAGTTCATATTGTTAAAAATGTTTCTTAAATAAATTATTAATTTTCTATTTTTAAAATTGATTATCAATAATTGTAAAATTCATGAAATTCAAACTAAAAACCAAAAATCACAACAATTTGAAATGGAGCTTAAATAAATTCATTGTTTTTTATTTTTTGTTTTGGCTATGAAAAGTTTAATAAAAAATTAAAATTAAAATAGTTTTAGTTATCTATTGTTCTTAACTAATTGTTTATTTTAAATTTTTTTCTTTTAAAATTAATAAAAAAAGAGTGGATTAATTAGCATAAATCTACTTAACTACTTGATATTATATAACTATTGTCAATAAATGTTAATAAACATGGTGAATAAATGATTGTGTCGTGACATATAAAATGTCTCCTACAAAATTATGAATTTCATAATAATTATCATCACCATCCTCATTATTGATGCGTCAAATCATATAATAAATAAGTGTGTATATTAATGTACGCGCCAATCAAATTTAAGGTACAACACTAGTCAATCAAAAATAAGTTACAAGAGAACTGCACAAGGAACTCTTATACTTATTTTGTCATCCACATCCTTATCTCCAAGACAATGGCAATTAGGAACAAGAGCGCAATGACAACTGCATACCCAGCCGTCCATCGATGCCCCTCCTTACCTAAATGTATGCCGTAGAAGATGTTTGCTATTGCGAATACCATTAGAATCCTCCCCACACTGTAATGGTACCAATTCCAGTATTTGCGCACCTTTGATGTCTTGTTCGGTCTAGCCAAAAATGCCATCACCTACATAAACAATTATTATATAAATGCCAATTTAACTATATGGAATAATCACTTTTAGCGAAAGCAAATCTCGAAGAATCATGTTTAGTTAGATGGAATGATTATTTTCTTATTTAACTATAAAATATGGTTTTTTTTTACTATTTTTATTTATCTTTCCCCTCACAAGTTAATTAAAAACAAAAGGCATGAGAGGGAAATCTTAATTTTTAGTATTTACAAAACTTAAGTATAAACAAGTTTTATGGTGAAATTAAAAAATTTATAAAAGATTACTTTTTCATTTATTTCTCTAGAAAATTCAACTAAGAAACAAATTCACTTAATTACCAACTAGATCATAAATGCTCAGCTGTTCATATCTTCAACTTAGTGAAATTATCTCAAATTGGACGGATTGCAATACGTAACAAATATATACCTCTCCGTCCTTCAGTTATACCTTTAGCTAACACGATTTCAAATAAACTACATTTGTAAAGTGTAATAAATTATCAAGATATTCAATTATTATTTTATTATTACTTAAAATTCCTTCCTTAATCCATAATTATTATTACTTCATTTGGTCTGATTTACTTATCTTACTTAACTTATTTTCAATTATAAAAAAAAAAAAAAAAAACTTTATTTAATACAATAATTTGTTTTTATCTTTCCGTTTTTGCTCTTTATCACACCATTAAACCAAAAAAGCTTCAATACCATCCCTATTCAACAATAAGGGCAAAATTAAAATAATAGTATTTAGAACTTATTTGATATAATGATTAAAATTTAGTAAATAGCTGTTAATGGAAAGTAGGTGGCAAATAGCAATAACAGGTAGTTGTTAGTGGATAGTGGAGAACAAGTAGAAGGTAATGGTTAGTGGATAATAGAAAGCGGATAATTAATAATGAATAGTAGATAGCAGATTCAATTAATATAATTGTTTAATTATATAATAGTTAGTGGTTACTATTTAAAATTAAATTATTGATAAGAACATATTTAAAAACAATTAAGTGTATTTTTTTTTCTTTTTATAGTTTTTATTATTAAAATTATTAATTTTATAAAAATAAAAATAAATAATAAATAAATTATAATAGTATAATTATACACTAGTTTTTATTTTGAATAAAGAAAAGATTATATTAGTTTTAAATAAAGTACAAAAAAAATTTAAATTTTTTTGTCTAATTAGTAAATTTTGTTTATTAAGCTAATATATTTCTTTATGATAAATTAATGTAAAAATAAAAATATAATAATTGCTTAATATTGGTAAAAATAAAAAATAAAGTTAAAAATAATTAGAAAAATACTAATTAAAAATCATGGTAAAAAATTAAAAAATTTTAAAAAAATAAATTTGTCAATAAAATTAAAAAATTTCAATTTGCTAAAGTTTGGTACAAAAAACTACCTTAAGTAATTTTTTCAATTGGTTAACGATTTAAATCCTAACCGTTATCTACTAATTTCAAATTGTTAAACAAAAAATTTTATCAAACGCCTAGTTTATAGTTTCAAAATAAATAAATTTACCAAATATTTATTTTTAATAGTTTGAACAAAACCAGTAATAATTATCTCTAAATCGCTATATCAAGTATGCCTTTAATATATTTTTAAAATTAAAGGGGGGACAATTAATTTAGATCACTTCTTTCTCTCTACCCAAAATAATTGTAATTTTTTTACTTCGATTTTTTTTGTCTCAGAGCAATCGTCATTTTCTTTAGCTTTTAACATAGATAAATATTTTTTCCCACAACCTATCCTATTACAAAAATCTTTTCTAATCTCTTATTTTTTTTCTTGAAGGTATTATAAGTAAAAATATAAATTGTCTTTAAAATCCCTAATCTAGAGAAAAAAAACCAAAAAAGACTGTTATTTTATAACAAATAATGTATTAAGTAAGCTGTACAACTAAATCATACTAAAAGAAAAATAGTACTTTATATTTATTTTGATATTAAGTTATATAATAAATAAAAACCTTATCTTTCTTATATCACTCATATGCTATATTATTTAAATTGGGTTCTTAATTATTTTCATTAGAAAAATATTGTTACTAAGCTATTTGGTCCTTTGGTCCTTGAGAGCCGTACTTAACATTCAATTTATTTTAATAACTTATCTCTTTATTTAAATAGAAGTAAAAATAGAATAAAAATTTTTAAATGCGTTTCTAATTAGAGTAGAAAATGACATAAAAAGTGCACCCTAAATCCGTAAATCGCGACAACCTAATAGAACATAGAGGCAGTATTTTCCTTTGTATTGTTAAATGATACTTGGACCATAAAAAAACATATCGTGAAAGTTCTAGGAAATTAACATATTAGCCATTGACTAGTACTTATGGAATCTCTTTCTCTCTCTCTCTCTCCCCCAAATATAACCTTGTGTGCATAGTGTTTCCATCATGTTGCATTTAGTCATGTGCATGCATAAACTAGTTTAGAATATTATAATTATTAGCAGATTGCAATGATAAGAGGCAAACCTGGAGACAACCCAGCACAAGAATGAAGATTCCAAGGCCTTTGTGAGTTGGGACATGAGCAGAAAGGCGATCTTCCAACACAAATCCACATATGACACCAATTAGTCCCAATACGAACCCAAGTGATTGAATGGCTACGTGGGAGTAAAACCAGATTGGATCCCACTGCTTGAAGTGGCGAGCAACAATGCCCCCAATTAACATTAAAATGCCCCATCCCACCATGTTTAGTATTCCATGGCTCTTCCTTAAGTTCGCACTAGGACTCTGGGATGTTGTCTGCCCTGTTATTGTACACCATAAAATAAGTTCAAGTGTAACTGACTAACTTCATAAAACTTCAAATTGGCTGTTAAATTTAAGATTTTAATTCATACGTAACTAAATACTTATAAAAACTTTTAATGAGCGTTTATTTTAAAGTTTAGAAAACAACTATTAATTATTAAATTTAATAAAAAAATTATATATTTTAAATTATAAATAGTAATTATTTATTATTAAATATTAATTATCAATTATATAAAAAAAATTAATTCAAATAATTCAAAACTTGAGTAACACAAGAATAAATGAATTAAATTAAAAAATATGAAAAAAAAAGTCAGCTGATGACTTGTCACTAAAGCGAATAATTCAACGAACCTCAGTTTATAGGTATATACACCTGGCATTTGTATTTTATTTTTACATGATTACTAAGTGCGCAATTAATTTAATTAAATTAGAATAATTACACATGCATGCTGTCATCATTAGGCAACCCAAAATTTCCGACCATGACCTGCTTTTTGAATAAAAGAATATAAATATAAATATATATATATATATATATTATCTGTCAAAGTGGTAGTCCCACTTGATTTTTTACTTTTTCAAGTTTTTTACCTGAAAAATAATTTATCTGTGTGGAGACCCGGTTGCGGTGCTGAGTCAACGTGTAGCTCGGTGCCGACGGGAAAACGGCGGTTGGTCCAACCGCATATATCAACGCCGATTGCGGCTGGGCGGTGTTCAGCTGGAATGCCATGAACAAACTCCCTGATTGGGAGGTGATGGAGGTAGAGTTGCTCACGATCTGCAGGCTCCCTTGGTCCACCGCAACCAGGTTTGGCTGTTGTCCTCCGAGATAGTACTGTTTCACAGCCGACGTGCCGTTAGTCCAGATCCACCCTACAACAGCGCTTGATTGAACCATTTTCCCACTGGTTGAGAACCCAATCGCAATATAGTTGTTGGAATCCGGGGCGGAGAGAACGAAGCTCCATACGTTCGACGAGTTCTGTGCGTACTGTACCCAGATTTCACATGCGAAATTCCAAATTAATATGTTTATTATTACAAATCATAACAATAGATATGAAATTCCAAGAGACCTGCCTAATCAGATTTATAATGAAATTGAAAAGAGAAAATTGCAGTAGAAACATGAGAAATTGCTAAAATTAGAGACATACTCTGAGAATGAAACGTTCGCCGCTCCAAACAGATAGGCACTGGAGGGAACTTGTGTCAAAGGGCAAACCTAGGCTTGGATTGGAGCTGCAGGAATCTGTAGTCTGTGAATTCACCAGGGATGACAGTCCCTGCAGAGTGATTATGACTCTGAAAATGATGATGGAGACTGTTGGAGATACTCCCTTCATTTTTTCCTCTTTTCTCTTTCAGGGTTTCAGGGTTTATGGGTTGATCTGGTCTCCCCAGAAGGCTTAAATAAGAAACAGATGGTGATGATGAATTCTTTTGAGTAAAGAAGGTTCTATCTCAAGCCTGCAGTGCTAAAGGTAACGCTAAATATGCAATGTTTTGACATACATGGTTTTTGGGGATTATGTGGAATACAAATTTTTTTTATTTTATTTTTTTTATCTTGAGTTGGACTATGGGTCCAAGAAAAACAACCTCTTTCATTTTTTAAATTTATTTTAGCACACCTCTTATTTTTTATTAGAAAGAGATTAGCATTAAGCTAAGTAATTGACACGTGAAATACAAATTGATGTTGCGGTAAAGATGTTTAGGTGGGTTAGCTTAGCTTTATATTATTATGACTTTGATTTTGTAGTTTGCAGTCGTTGGCATTTGTCACGATGGGGACAATGAAATAAATAAAGCCAAAGAAAGTGGTAATAAAATCAGCAATTCTGCATCATGCTGCCATGATGCCATTTGTGGTAGGTCATTTCCTTTTTTCTATTTTTTTTTTCAGTGATTGGTGGGTTCTTTCTTGTTATTATTTATTTGTCTTCCTTTTTTATGAAGTGACCAATTAAAACAGTTTGCTTTAATGGAATGACAAGGGTTAAAAAATAGAAATCCAGGAAATAAGGCCAACAAATATTGAATCATTCTAGTTTCAGGTGACATAGAGGTTGAAATTGAGAAAGGTGGAAAAAGAAAAAGTGAGCAGCTGAAGAAGCTTGTTTGGTTTAAATGCAACCGAATAGACCTGGAAAATCAAAATATAGAACTGTATAAATGCTCTCAATAAATTTATGGATCATATAATTAACAGCAAGAACCTGTGCTTGCAAGGCCGCTTGTGGATACGTGCGTCTGTGTTACAAGCATGGGGTAGCGGTGGTTAGAAATGGTCCATAATGTTTGCTCAAAAGGGTAGAAAAGACTAGAATTGCATTGGAAAGAAATAACAGGAATTGTTTGAATTGGCATCATGAGTCATCTTTTAGGTTTTGAAGAAGTGAGCAATTTGGCTTCTTTTGAATATTTTTAGCGGGCTGACTTATATTGTTTCTTTCGATATAATCTTTGGACGTCAAGTGAGGTGTTCTCCAGCAGATCTTCTGATTTTGAATTGGTTT